AGGATACATCGCATTCCGCAGAGGAGCTGGGATTTAAACCTGGGACTTCTGATGCTAAAGTCAGAGCTTCTGAGCCGGGCCCCTGAGGGGACTGGGGGCTGAGTGGGAAGCTGGACAAGAAGCTGGGGGCGCATTTCTTTGTTATAATCAGGAGAGTGTGGGACACATCCTCTACTATTTGGCCTGAGCCTCTGTACCTGGATAGAAACCTGGAGACTAGAATTATGACCAACCTCCTCATCCCCCATCTCTTTCTTCTTCTCTAGAAAATATAGACACTGCAGGTTACCCACCAGGCGCCAGGCCAATAACCTCAGTGGCCCCTGGAAATGCCCTGTCCAGAGATACATGTCCCCGAGAAATACCCGAGAGTGCGGGTATGTGTGTGTGTGTGCATGTGTGGGTTGGGGGAACGGGGCTATTCTGTTCCAAGCCTTACAGACATGGTCCATTAATAATAAACTCTGTCATGGCTTGTAAATTTATTAGGAGAAGCTGGTGTAATTAAAATTCAGAGTTGGGGGAGGGAGAGCAGAGAGCCTTTGCTTCCATTCCTTCTTTCAGAGATCCAGGCTGAACTACCGATGGGGATAATTAGCAGAGTCCAAACAGAGAAGGAATTAATGCCCCTGAAAAGCTTCGATGAGGAGAGACAATGCCGGGCTAATTATGGCCGCACCAGCTTTATGACTGGGCACCGGCTTCCACCATCATTAGGGGATTCAGAGATAAATCGGAGACTAATGTGGAGTGCTGTAGCTAACAGAGCATTGGCATTAATTTAGCAATTATTAGTATTATTATTTTGGCAGATGGTAACTGTAAGTTTATGCCTGATTAGTCAGGGCTTGGGGCCCCTCTGAGATGTGGACATCAAGGCTGGGGTGATGGTGGAGAGGGGCAGACAGAGAGCCAGAAAGACTCTACACCCCCCCTTCCTGTTTACCCCTGCAAGGACTGAGAAGAGAGGTCTGTCCGGGCCCACATGGAGCAAGAAAAACAGATTGGCAATAGAGAGAAGGGGGAGATGAGACAATGTTGTATACCTAGAGCATCCACAGCCGGACGTCTTGCTCACCTCCACTTTCAACGCCCCCTCAGATGAAAATTCCTAAGTGTGGCTGGCTCAGTCCTCTGGTGCTCGAGACCTCTTTTCCTAAGCAGGACCAGCAAGGGTGCCACCTAGCTTGGGCAGGACTTTCTCTTACCCTGTTTCCCGCCCCCGCCCCCAACTCCAGACAGCCTTACACAGACCCTAAAGAAACCTGTCTGGGTCCAGATGTCTCAGCCTTAGTCCTAATTTTCTGCAGCCACATGTTATACCTCCAACTCTGTGGACAGAGGAACAGAACAGTTAGAACACATCCTCTCTGTCCAGAGCATGGAGGGGATGATCTACCATTCCACTTTTAAAGTTCCCACAGACAGAGGTAGAAGAAAACTTCTAGAACTGTAAATCCAAGCACTGTACAGCTCCTAGATACTTTACCCTAGTTCTAGAATCTTAAAGTTGAAGACACAGCATAAAGTCAGAACATCGTCTAAAGGATGTACGTTCGAAAGGATCGTAATTGCACCTTTCCTCAAAGAAGGCAAAATTTGCAGAATTTCTTCCTTCTGGCAAGGAGTGAGGGAGTAACTGATTATTTAGTTATAGAAACAGGACGTTTGTGGTTTTGGTGAAATGCTATGCATTTAACTTGCCATCACAAGCAGGAAAAATCTTACCTGCTGCCAAAGGCCAACTTCAACACCAGGTGACTGAATCACAGAACATCTCCAGTCAGTAGAGAAGTAAACCAACAGGACATACATCTCATGGCCACATGTAAGACCAAGAATAACCATTCCTGGCCGCCAGCTTGGCAGGGGCAGGGCAGCTCAGGGTCCTCCATCAGTTCCTGAATTTTTTTGGAACATCTCTGAATCTCTGCTTGCTACCTCAAATCCAAAACCCTCCTACCCACACCCAACACTCCGCATTTGGCCTATGGAGCAAATTCATTCATCTCCACAAGGAAAATGGCATGAAAAAGGAAGAGAACTGCCTGTCAGTGTCCACTTGCAGGGGTAGGCAGGTGGGGGGTGGGTTGTATATTAAAAAGGAAAACAGACCCTTCGCCTTCAGAATGTTTAAAGAAAAACGGAACTTGCTTCTATCTGGGACAGTTTGTGTAGAGGTGTCTCAAGTCGGGAAAGCTAAGGAGATCTGATCCAGGTTTCCTGTGCAATTCCTAGCACAGACCATGGCATATAGGAGGGTCCCAGTAAATGATAGTAGAGTCCGAATCTCAACTGTTGAGTCTCAGGGTGTTACTAGAAATCCCGTGAGCTAGAGAATTTGGGTAGGAGGAAGGCAGGGGGAAACATACAGAGGTAAAGAGAACTGGGCATGTTCTAGTCACTTGCATTTTTCGTGAAAATACAAATGAAAAGATCCAGGATTTCTCTGCCAGGAGAATCTGGCAGTGGCTCTGGGACGTAGGGAGTAGGCTAGGACGTAGGCTACCTGGGGGCCTGGTCCTGAACTGCACAGCATCTCCCCAGACTTGTGCTCACTTAAACCCCAAGCTCGCAAAGCCACTCTCAACCACTTTCTTTCTTCTGCTGTGATTAAGGGTCTCCTTCTGCCACCTCCTCTCTTTCAGCCCCCTAGCTTGGCCCCCAGGGGCTTCCTGAGGCTTGTGACTCAGCAGCCAAAGTTCAAGTCCCCCAGGACTGACAAGTCAAGCTCAAGCAGCCTGCAGGGAAGGCACGCTGATTCATCTGAGCCTGCTTACTCTCACTCCTCAACCGCCTCTCATCCTCAGCCTGGCCACCAGCTACCTGTCATTCCAGACTACGGGGTGTCCCTCTGGAGTCGGAATACCAGTGCCTGCCTGTATCAGAATGTTCTATGCACGCGTACACCCTCCGCAGCATGCAGCATTTCTGCTCTGGACAGATGGGGGAGGAGGGCAACCTCCATCCCGAGTGGAACTCGACAGGTGTGTTCTCACCTTGAATTAACCCCTTTAGGGTTTGAGAAGCCAGGACCAGCATTAAGGCCCCCACTGGAAATGAATTGTTGGAGGTAAGGATGGAAGGGAGCTGGGTAGGCAGGCAGGAAGAGACTCCCTAACTTGGGGAAAATTGTGTGTCTGGGGGATATGAGGAGAGGGATGGTGCAGCACATGATGGCCCCTGAGAACCAAAATCTAACACTTGCTGGGCCTACTTTATTCCAAGATTCTTCAAGAGGGAGAATCAACCTCTCCAACATCCCTCACTGGACCACCCTCTGAAAGTTCTTCTTTAGGTCTCACCTCAGTCCCTTCTGCTGCAGTAATCAACCCACTAATCAAACATTGCCAGGGCCAGAGAGAGTGCAGGCGAAAGAGCAGCGCCCCCTACAATCCACGCAGGGCTGAGGTGCGCTCCACTCCCGCAAGGCTGGACACAATCCCCTCACACACACAATCCTCCCCTTGGCCCACTATCTTCCTTCTATTCCTCTGCCCCCCAGCGGCCCGGTTCCTAACCTAGGACCTTACCAACAGTTGTGACCTTTAACCTCAAGTGAAAAAACAGGGCCCTGGAACCTGCGGTCTCTGGGGAGCTTACCCCAGCTGTACCTGCTCCAGGAGCCGCCGCTCCAGTCCCCGGCTTCCGATCCCTGGAGACGCGCGTGGAGAAGAAATTCCCGCCTCTCGTGGCCCCTTCCTCCCTTTCCCGCGCCGTTGGTGCGGAACCACAGGGGTGACCCTCGCCTTCCCCGAGGCCCAGCGCCACCCGGGTCAGGGTCGGGGGACGAGCAGGGGCGGTGTCTGCGGAGCCAAAGGAACCCCGGCGCCTTGGTCCCTGCAGGATCTCCCCACCCCCCTCCGCATCCTCTCGAGGCTTCGCACTGCCCCCCCGCCCCTCCCCCCCGGAGGCAAGGCGACCCGGTGCTCCCTCTCTCCCAGGACCCTCCAGACGTCGGCATCCTGACAAAGAAGCCCGGCTGCAGCGGGCGAGCGTGGCCGCACGGCGCTGGTGCGGCAAGTAAATACCCGGGCCGGCCAGCCGCCTACCCTCCCGCGGCTCCCGCCGCCAGGGCGCGACACGCCATTGCCGCTGTCGCGACTCCCGAGAGACGCCGCAGCTGCGCGCCGGGCCCGGGCCCTGCGGGGCTCGGGCTCCCGACTCACCGGCTCCGGCGAGCTCGCCTCGGCTCGGGCTCCCGCCTGGGCTCGGCGGCCGCCGGGACTGCGTCCGGCGCAGGGTCCGCGCCGTTCGGGCAGGAGGCGCCCGCTTGGCAAAGTCGGCGAGAGGCACCGGCTCAGTCGCGCACCGGCCCCGAGTCCGAGTGAGTCAGAGAGGGAGCGAGCGAGGGAGCGAGTTATAGGGGCGGGCGTGGGGGGGGGGTGAGATGCCGAGACACCCTCCCCCACCCCGCCCCCCGCCCCCCGGCAGAGACGCAGAGAGCCACTCGCAGCCGGAGAGACGTTCGGACACAAAGACCTCGTGCCGCCCGCAGACCCAAGTTTCTCCCCGAGACCAGGGGGCTCGGACCGCGTTCCCCGAGAGAATAGACAAACGGACGCGCAGACCGACAGACGAACCTTGGGACCTCGACACCACCAAGAAACGAGTTACTTCCTCCCCCGGGGTGTCCCCGGTCTCCTACTCGCTCCACAGACCCCTTCCCTGGCAGATTGCCCGCAGGGTGAGCGGAGAGACGCTAGGGAAACTGAGGCCCCCGTGGGGCGCCTCACCCGGGAGCGCGGCTTTGCGCGAGATCCCCGAAGAGTCACACGGGAGGGGCCTCGGGGATTCTCTGCCTCCCAGGTTCCTTTCACGTCTCTCGGCTTGCCCTGCTGGCAATGAAACAGGGCAGTGGCTGGGGCTGGTTCCGAACCCAGGATCCTGAGCTGGAGTTCTCTGGCTAGGTTCTGGGGCTCCCGGGGCCGGGGCTCTGGGAGGGAGGACGGCCAGGGCGAGAATCCAGGAAGAGAGGGGGGCCTCGGATTTCCCGTTACCTGAGTCGGCCGCGCTCGGACTCCTCTCTGGGGGCTGTAGCTCGAAGCTCCGACAAGTCTCCACGTCCAGCCCGAGAGGGGGCGGCCGGGCCCGGCACAGCGAGGCCAGGAGCGCGAGCGCCGCCTGGCACCGAGGCCCCCCGGTCCCCCACACCCCACTCATGCCCGGGACACCCCGGCGCTTCAAGCAGCTGCCCGAACCCGTACCGCCGCCGGACTGGGGCGGGGCGAGGCGGCCCCAAGAAGACCCTCCCCGCAGCGGCCCCCTGCGGCTCCGTTCAGCTTTTAATCGCTTCCCCGCAGGGTCTCCGCCCCTCACGTGGCGTCCCGCGGCAGCTGGCAAGTCTGGCGCCTCACGGCCGCCCCCTCTACACCCAGGGACAGGCCTGAGTCCCGGCGGGTTCGAGGCAGGGGAGCCCGGTTGTCCAGCACCCCGGAGGGTGCAAGGCCCAGGAAAGGGCCTGGGATCTGACTCCACATTCACTGCCTGGTGTGACCTTGGGCCTCTCTGAGCCTCAATTCCCCACTCTGTAAAAGGGGTATAATGATTACGAGTGCTTCACAGGCTGTCTGGGAATATAAAGATAGTGTTCGTGAAAACACTGGGTAAATTGCCACATGCCACACAAGTGGCAACGAAATAGATGAACCCATTACAGAAAGAAAGATGACCCCGCTGGGAGTGGGAGAATCTTGGCCAAGGTTCCTAACGGGGGAAGTTAGTCAGACTAGCCCTAAGTCCCAGCTTCGGAGGCAGAAGACCCTAAGACTGCGGGGCTATTTGAACTGCAGAAAGACTTTCTGAGCCCCGCAGTCCTGCGGTCCACCGTACCCGCCTGTTGCTATGGCAACGGGAGGCAGCGGCCGTCTCTCTCCATGGCAACGGGAGGGGAAAGTTTCTGGCAAATAGGAATGGGGGGCATTTCAAGAGGGCGCTCCGTTCCCGCCAGACCCATCTCCCCACAGCGGTGCAACGCCACCGGAGATAATGCCTCTTGCTACTAAGCATAGCCAGGGCCAGAAAGCCTGAAAACTAAACGAGAGGACTGAGGCTAGACTTAGGGCAGACTTCCCCTCCAGGAACTGTGGCGTGAGGTCCAGGAACAGGTTGGCTGCGGGGCTCCGAGGCACCTCAGTCAGCCCTGGAGATCTACGGGCCGCCACCCGGCGCGGCCCTGCAGGGGGTCCTGTCACGGAAGTCACGCGTCCTCGGCTTGTCGGCTGGTGGGCCCCTTCCCGTGTGCGGCTCACCCGAAGCTCCAGGCTGAGGTCCCTTTGCCTCCCCCGAACTGGGAAGGAAACTTTAGCTGGAGCCTCCGGAAGCCGCGGGGCTGGTGTGTACCCGGGTGGCGGGTGGGGGAGGAGGGTCTTTCCTCCTAATTACCACGTTAATTGGAAGTGGCTCGGGCGGTGACTCACGTTCCAGAGGGAGGAGATTCGGAGCCCCAGCTCCTGGCGGTCTCCACATGCGCCATCTGCGCCAGCCGCGCTTGCTGGTCCTTGGACTGGAGAGCCCCCGGCAGCTAGTGCCTCGAGTACAGAGGGCCCAGCCGAGGCCTCAGAGGACCCCGGCTTAACCAGAAGGTTTTTGCCCTTGGGAAGCGCTCCCTGGCTCTGTCCACGGTGCTGAAGGCCCATTGGCGCAATCGCAGCGTGGGCACGGGGTTAGGGAAGGTGGGACGATGGGCAGGTGTGGCGGGTTCACAGCTTCCACCCTGACCTCCGGAGCCTGCGATAGGAGAAGGCTAGGAACTCAGGCCAGAGGGACTGAGCAAGCGTGATCCCGGGGGCACTATGCAATCCAGGCCGCCTTCCTGAGGGAGGTGCTCAAATGCTGTTCCAAGAACAGGTGAGGCTGTGGAGTCCCCATTCGCCTCCCAGTGCTTCTGGAACCCACCTGAGGAGCCCAGAAGCCCCGTCACCTCCTGCTCTCCCACCCAATGCAGAGCTCAGCACTGGAGAGGCCCCTTGTTACATGCTCGTTAGCAGTTTCCGAGGCAGCAGGTTTGTGTTTATGTAAAATACAAATGGAGAAGAACTGCTCTCTGCCCATGTTTATGGCAACTCTGTTGCTCCGCGGCGATTTCTCCCTCCCCCTCCCGAGTTCCTGGGGAAATTCGCAGAACAAAGCGCCTTGTTTTGCCTTTGCAGAGAATGAAAAAGCACAGGACCTTCCAAGGGCCCCGACCTGTGATGCAGGGAAATCAATATGTTGCTTTACAACGAGTGGGGGCATTTGCATCTAAACTGAAGGCAAAGGAGCCTGTTTGGAGCAGAGCAGGTGGCAGGAGCCGAGAATTAACAGATAATTTCTCATTGTTCCCAGATTCAGCCTCCACACTAGGCAAACAGTTCTGCGGCGTCTCTGGCGCCCCGGCAGCAGCTCTGGACCTGGCATTGCTCAACAGAACAGGGAGGAGTTTCTGCTCTGACAGGGCTGCGTGGGGAAGGGGCCAGGGCTCCTGGGTCAGTCAATAACTATTGAATTTCGAGTGTGTGAATGAGTGTGTATGAAAGAGAGAAAAACAGAGACACAGATAGGGACAAGAGAAAGAGAGGCAGAGGATGAGACATACGGAGACAAATATAGGAGATACAGAAGAGATACAGGAAAAGAGGGGCGGAGGGGACCCATACACATATAAAGGCACACTCATTCAGAGAGATAAAAGAGAAACATTTTTTTCTTATATTGAGAAAAAAACCCACATTCGTTGTCTTCTTTGCCCTCTCTCCCTGCCCCGCAGGTTAATGGTGATACCTGCAGAGACTTGTGGTCACATAACCAGCCACAAACCAAACAACCAAGCAAACAAAACACATGTAAAGACGGGAACTCTTCCTCTCGAAAACCCCTTTCGCTGACAAGCCCACTCCCATACGAAGAGACTAAATTCAGACTCCCAGGGTCCCACCCAGACCTGAAGAGGGAAGGAGGTAGAAAGAAGTAGAATTGTTGCCCCTCAATGCTATCTTCCAGAGAAAGACCATCTGAGATTCAATTTAGAGGTGGACTGAAGAGAAGGAGGGGCAGAGACAGCATTGCATAGTGGCAAACAAGGGCACTGGGCTGGGCCCCAGGAGGCTGGGTTCCAGGACTGGTGCATCGAACCAGCCATGGGGCAGTCAAGTCCCTTGTCAGGGTGTCAGTGTCCTTATTTGTAAGATGAAGAAGCCAGATGAGGAGCTCGTCAAGGCTCCTTCCAGCAACAACATGCTAGGATTTTACATGAAAGGAAAGGAGGGGGCTGAGTGGGGAAAGGAAAGAGGGGCAGAAGAGCAGTTTTTCTGGCTCTAGAGAAGAGGGTGTCCAGGGTCACTTTGGGCTTCCCCTCCCCCAAGGCTCTCATTTCATCTACAGTTGTGGCTGGAGCCTCCTGAGTCCGGGCCCCTAGTCCCCAGGCCAGACTGCTCAGAAGCAGGGAGGGGAACTGGAGGTGGGTGGGCAGCAGAATGAGAGGAGATTGGAAGCAGAAACCAGGGCACCCCACTCCCATGCCCTCCTCTCCTCCAGAGTAGCCAAAGTGCACGTCGCCTGCCCCTACCCCAAGTCTCTTAGGCCGTGGCCAGACTGCCTTTGGACAGGTCCCCCACTCTGCTCTGAGTAGCAATGACCTGTTGAGTTATGCTACAAATAAAATAAATTAAAACAAAATAATTTCTAAAAAAAAAAAAAGATTAAACCTTGGTAAGAAATTGCTAATGCTGTAGGCGAGAAGAATGAGCTCCTTTGACATGAGCTGATGTGTCATATTGTCTTTCCATCTCAATGCAATTTCTAAATAGGGAGCCCTTTCCCCATTCCCTCCTCCCCTCCAAGCCCCCAGCAGAGATGTAAAGGGAGCGGTCTGACGTTCATAGGCGGGTTAGCTGACATACAGGGAGAGACAGAGAGAAAAAGATACAAGCGTACTCATGGCTTTTTCAAGTGGATTGGAGCCAAGAGGGGCTCTGACCCAACTTGGAGGGCCCCTGATCTCCTCTCCCCACCTCCCCCACCTCCTGCTTAGTGAGGCATGTGGACACTTTGTTCAAGGGTTCTAAACTTACTCTAGGAAAACAGATACCAGTTGAACCTGTACCACTGCTGGTGGAGAATTAAGTTGACGTCCTATACTGGGGAGGGGGAATGCTTTACACCATCATTTAAAACAAACACTGCTATGGAATCCCTATGGGGTTTCTGCCAGAACAACTTTATCAGTATTTCCAGCAGATGTCACCCCCTGTCCCCCGACCCTGCCACCAACATAGCAATTAGCCAAAGCTGGGTGACTTCTGCAAACCATGCCATTCCAAGCCATCATAAGAGTTTTCAGGAATTTTTCCTTGTTTGGGAAAAAAAGGAAAAAAAAAAAAAAAGATGCAGAAGACATTGCAAAGCCCTGCATCAACGCCCAGGTATTTTTGAGAGTCCAGTCTTGTTTTTATTCTAAGAAAGGTCTTTGACAATTCAAACCTCCTGAGCCAGGGGTACATTTGCCTCTGTCTTATTCCTTCTTCATTTCAGAGGTCTCATCTCTGTTCTGTGTTCTCTGCTCAGGCATAGGGTTCCAGATCAGACTTGGGAAGACTGGACCAGGTTTGTTGCATCCAGCAGGCTGGGGACTGGGGAAACAGAGACAAGTTCAAGGTCAGAAGGCAACATCATCCCTGGAAGTTTTAGAGCTGTACCTAAGTACCTGTGGTGTGTGAGGGCTCTCTCTATACTACTTGAGAAATAAGAATGGTTGGAGAAGAGCTAGGAAGGACACCAAGGTTACTCCTCTTCCCACTGACCTCATACAGAAGAAAGAGCACAAGTTTTGGAGTCAGACAGACCTGTGTTCAAATCCTGGCTCTATCACTTACCAGATATATCACTTTAGGTGTCATACTTCAGCAATCTGAACCTCAACTTCCTCATCTGTAGAATGGGACATATAAGGCCTGCTTTATAGTTACAAGGGCTTTATGCATAAGGTTAAGTGTCTAATATACTGTGACTGATTCATTACAGGTGTTAAAACAAATGACAGTTCTTGTCCTTTCTCTCTGTCTCTCAGATCTTAGAGGGACATCCATGAGGCACACTGTCCAGAGCTTAACCCATATTCTTCCATTAGGCAAGTCCCTGAACATTGCCAGGAAGGAATTTCTCTCATTCTCTCTCTCTCTTTTTTT